AACTGCTCCTCTTATTCCACTGTTGTTCTTTTTTTCCTTTATTCCTTTAGCAAATGTTGATTTTTTTTTNTTTTTTTTTAAGTTAAAAGGAGCTGCTTTTACAAAGCCCATCCAGGATCCAGGAAAGCCAGGTGTCTTGCGCTGTGGCATCCTGAGCTCGTGGAGAGATGGAAGAACTCTTTCCTGACCAGCAAATGCAGCTTCACCCTTTTCCCCTCCATCTACCCAGCCTTGTAGGCTTTGCAGAGAAAATCCTAGTATTCCAATTAAAATCTGTGCACCAAAAGCTCCTGTACCTTTATTTTAAGGGATGGCATAAGCTTGGTAGCATTTAGATTAAAAGCAGTTAAAGAATCCTCTACATTACTTAGAAGAGGGCCCAGCATTTCTGAGTTTATTGCAGTGTTTGTGAGTGGTTACAGCTGTCATGCAACCAGCTCAGTGTTGACTCCAGTGCAAACACACTGACACAGAGCTGCAGGCAGCTGATGAAGTGTCTTCATCATAGTTTGCTGAGTGCCTTGTCTATATTTTCATGATTTATTASTTCCCTGACTTCCTTAGGTGTTAGAAAGAACAATGAATCAATTCAAGCGTTTTCAGAGCGGGGACCACTAATTGCATGAGCTCTGTTTACCACTCAGGAGCTCCAGTTTTGACAAGTCTCTTGACCCCATGTTAATACAGATGATTAATTATTGTTAWGGGTATTTGCAGAAATGAACTGGATAGGTAACACTTCAGAGCTATTATTTCTTTCTGTACAAGCAATAAACATAATTATGTTTACACTGTGTTCCAACTGTAATGGGTGGGGAAAKAAGGGGCTTTTGAAGGTGTGGGGGTAAACCCTTGCTCCCCAGAGGTGGATATCCAGAGTTCACAGACTGAAGTGATGGGAAGATAGGTTTGAAGAGGTTCCTTCTCTTGACTCCTTGGTGGTTTCACGGTGGCTTTGCCTTTCCTGTGTGTGCTGCTGCAGAGGACTGGTGTGTGAATGAGGGCTGAAAAACAGCACAGGCAGGCCACAGGGTCATTGGGGTGCCAGATGTCTGCAGTGTTTATGATGCTTTGGACCCTGCTAGGCAATTTTTCCATGGAGGCTTGCCCTGCCCTGCCCTGCTTTACCTTGYTGTCCTGCTCTGCCTTTTCTCTGTCTGGAACTGGCATTTGTTTCCCCCAGAAGAACAAGGCTCTTCCTTGCCAAAGGAGGGAACCTCCCCCATATGCAGCTATGTGCTYACCCAGACAGGCTGGGGGTGACGCTGGGAGTTGTCCCCAGGCTCACCCCAAGCAGAAGGACCTGTCTCCTTGTCCTACAAAACTCTCRACCTGTTGCAGGTTTTTGTAGCTAGTGCTGCTGGGGAAGCTGTTGGGGTTTATCTGTGGGCTCAAAAACAAGGCCAGGATGGGTTGACCCTCACACATCATCTGTGGGGAACCCACAGAGGTATCCAGAGTGGGAGTGTCCATGGCAAGGTTCTTCTCAGGGAGCCCAAATGGGAGAGGCATGAAGTGGCTGGGACCAASAGGACTGACCACAGGAAGCAAAGGAGCTGGTGGGAAAGGAAATGTAATCAGCAGCTGACACATGGGAAAGAGCATTTTAAAATACCAGGTGACAGATGCAACCAGAATGGCTGTGCCATGCAACAGCTTGATAAAAGAATATAAATAATAAAAATACAGGTTTCATTGCCCACTCTACTGAACTGCTTTATCCTGAAAAACACCATTATTTCTGCAAAATTTGGCCCAGGTTCATTACGGTGGGAAGTAAAGTTTGCAGGAGACCCTAAAATTTGCCTCTGTGGGTTATTGCCCTGCACAGACGAGAGTTCCTCTGTCTGCACAAAGGCCTCCTCAGCACGCTGCAGRTGCAGCACCATGCAGGACCTGACCTTGCTGTTCCTGCTCCTTGTGTTTGGGCCGAGGGCAGCACCACYGGGCTGAAACAGAAACCCAGCAGGGACAAGCATCTTTCTGAAGTTCACAGCACACAGCACCAGGGCCACCTGGCTCTGTGCCCTGCAGAGGTACAGATGGTGTCCCCTACTCCCCTCCATCAGCTTCAGCCCCACAGCCCCACAGGCAGGGTCCCCAGCAGGACACAGGCAGCCATTCCTCTGTGGACAGGCAGGGACTGTCCAGACTCACTGGGAAAGGCACCTCAGCACCCTTTGAGCCCCTTTCTCACCCCTCCACTGCCGTCTCTGGAAGGGTTTGTACCATCAACCTTGTTTGTCAGGGAGCTGGGCCAGTCCTGGCCCCATATCCAGCTCTAGCTGCAGTGGTGAAGGGGCAGGAAGGGTGTTGGGCAGCTCGTGTGGCTGAGCAAAGCATTTTCCTTACCCTGATTTTGAAGTTTAATTCTACCATAAGCCACTGCAGCATGTTTATAGCAACCAGCATTYTCCCATCTGGCCCTCCTTAAGTTGCTCATCCCATTCAAAACACAGAAAGAATGACAAGATAAATGTAATGAGAGAACTCAAAACAGCCAACCTGTCTGGGTCATTGTTCCTCACGACTGTCCCCCTGTCCCCAAGGCCATGCAGAGGCAAGACCAGAGCTCTGAGCATGAGAATGGGTTCTTCTGCTGTGACAGGAAGCATCTGCCCACTAAACAGGCCCACATGGTCCTGGATGGGAGCAAAGAGCACAAGGCACAGTGTGCACAGTGACATGGGTGAGGTTAATTGCTCTGCTCAGTTTTAGCCCATCGAGCTCTAGAGAGGGAATCCACTTCGCTGGGCAGGGGGAAACAATGCTGACTGATTTGTGCAAAAGGCAAGCCTGYTCCTTTAATCTATTTGAAAGCTTTTGTGCATCAAGGCCCTGGCCAGAAGAGCTATCGCTGATATAATTGATGAGGACATTTGTGAAGGTTTTGATAAAGACCTTTGTGAAAGAACTATTCATGGGAGACAATGAAGCATCATGGGTTGGGGAATCACTAAGAAACAAAAACCCCAAAAGCGGGATGAAGTGTCACACAGCTCCATATCCCACCCAGCAGCACCCTCAGCCCCAGGGCTGCTCCCCATACATGCAAAGCCCCACGGGGGGTGATGAGGATCGCCACGAACACCACCAAAGCCAGGGGAACAGGCCAGAGCAGGGGAAGATCCCCCCATGGACACAGCCTGGGTAAGGCACCCTGAGAGGAAGGGGATGAGGGTCAAAAAAACCATGTAAATCCAGATCAGCTCTCACCTCTTGAAGAGAAATCCAGCTAGGGCCATGGGCAGCTCACCACAGTGCTCCACTGGGCACTGTAAATACAAACTATTATCCCAAAACCCCCTAAACAAATGAAGATATTGGGTAAAGGTCAGGAGACAAAGTAGCAGAGAACTGTGTCTAATTGCTCAGATAGGAAGGAAGAGGAGATCCTCTTCTGGCATTGCTGCCTCTCACCAACTCCCAAATGACACATCAAAAAGAGAGAAGGGGAGTGTTTCCAAGATGGCAAAGTAAGAGAGTTAGAAATAGAGTCTAGCTAGAATTGAAATTATTTTAATTTCTAGATGAAGTGAGTAAAAATCAACATAATGGGCAATATACAAAATAACAAACGGCACAAAAGAGGTACATATAAGTACTCATATTTTCACTTTTCACATAAAAAGAGAAAAAAGGGACAGTCAGTAAACCCAAGCAGCAGCACATGTACAAGGAAAAGCGAAATATTGTTGYTCTAATGCACTGTGCATAATCATCCAGGGTGCTCACTGTTCCAAAATATCACTAAAATCWCAGATGCAGAGAGACTTGCAAGAAAGAGACAGGAATGTACCTGAAAGGAAAGACCATTTTCAGTTATATTTGCTCTATGTGAGTTRCTTGAGCAGAAAGCAATATGGGTTTTAAGAGAGAAATTGTCACACAAACATAAATGAGAGGGGGGCAAAGAWCCCCATGGGCAGATTATTCCAAAAATGGCCTTCTAAGGGATGTCTCATTCCTCCTTCCTCTGAAGTATTTGCAGAGTATTGGCAGCAGTCAGTGACTGGAAACGTCAAACTACTTCTTATCTCCTCTGTCTCCCTGCTGCAGCAAGACCAGAACAGTTTCCCGCCTGCTGTGTCCCCAAACATGACCCTGAGATGTGGTTTTTGATCCTTCCTTGCTGCACACGTCCCCCACCATGTGCTGCTGTGCTGCTGCCACCAGCCTTGYTCCTGGAGTGGCCTCACTGACCACTCATTTCAGGGGATACCAAGAAGCATYGTGGAAAAGCCCAAAGCATCTCCAGCCTGGGTGTAGCTGCCCTGGGTGGGGGCTGCGTGGAGCACCAAAAGCAGCTGCTTGGGTGGGTGCTGAGTTCCAGTCTGCTCCTTCCTTCTAGTCAAGGAACATTTCACATCCTCAGCCATATGTGACTGAAGGAGGCAAAAATAATCTTGTCATCTTTTTTTTTTTTTTTTTTTTTCATTGTCGTGCAGTGATATCTCCCCTATTCATTGCTGAAATGAACCAGAATTAATCTCGGCAACAATTCTGCCTGGTGATGGGAATGCACATATTAGCAATACACATCAGCACACCTTCCTTCAGGAGTGATGCTACCTGGATAAATATCAGTGAAGGTCAGCATTGGGGAAGTGGGGCAAGAAATTACTTGWGAGGGCATTCCCAAATTTAAGTAGAGCTGACAACTGAACAGTGAGTTTGTAGAAATCTTCCTTTTCATCTTTCCTTATCTGAGGTAGMGCTGAAGCTCAGGTCTTTCTGTGCCCACAAAGTTAAAATAAAAACAGTCACCTGGCCTTAACCTCCCTCTCTGTGAAGATGTGTCCCTACACCCAGCTCAGAGCAGGAACTGTCCTTTTCCCAAACACCATCCACTCCCAAAGGATGGCATCCCWGTCCCAGACCTCTACAGAACTGTGCTGCAGCACTCCCACATTAGCTTTTCCCTGCCTCACAGGCACACCTGGCACACATTTTCCCACCAAAATACATCCATCACAGGCAGTGGTAACTGTTTTCCCCTCTGCTACCCCAGTCTTGGGCTCCTTACCCTCTGCAGATGTGGTGGCTGGAAGCTGGCAGACAGAGCAGGGCACCCTCTGCCCATCATCCCCAGCCCCTCTGCCAGCTCACCCCACTCCACAGTAACAACTTTATAATGCCCCACAGCCTGGTTCCTACCCCTGGAGAAGATGGCAGTCATTCCAAAATGGAGCTGATCACATGAGCTGGACATAAGAGATCTTATTTTTTGTTGTGTGGTTTTGGTTTTTTAAAGACTTTATTCGTCTAACATGCTTGACCAAAAATTACAACATTCAAGTTATGCCAAAATGATTAAATAATCTTTAAGCTTTCATACCTCAAGTACTTTAAACGATATTTTGAAGTAACAGTTGCTTTCATATCCTTTCCACATAAAAATACGTGAATATTTGGAAGATACCTTAGGAAAAATTATTTTTAAGAGAATAGTTTATGGTTGACATAGAAATTTTGCTGAGGGTAATAAAAGGACCTCTTYCCCCCACTTTAACATTTAAGTGCCATGAGCGAATGTAAACATTTCAGACTTTAACACACAGCCAATTTCCTGCCACATTTGTTGCAAACTGCTTGAATTGTGACTAGCTAAGCCACTTTTATTCAAACTACATGCTATTGTTCATCTTCCCAATGACGACAGGAGTTCATATTCAACTATGAATTTCAGTTCTTACTGATTTAGGAGCTGATCCTGAAATTTCTACACCAGTAGCTTTGACAAAAGTGGCCCCAACATAATTCATGGTAGACGGCTCATGCACTTGTGAACCACTYACCCAAAAACCCAGTTGCAGGCATCACCAATAGTTTTGGGTTTAGTTTTCAGGAAAAAACAGCAGCACATTAGTTTAGACACACGGTCACCCAACAKATTAAAGGAAATGACAGACCTGTGACTTGTCACGTTTTTCTGGGGATCTGGTGGCTTCTTGTGTGTCCACAGCACAAGTCAGTTACTGGGCTTGAATGCCTYGGCTCCCAGCAGCAGCTGGCAGAGCTGCTGCCCGTGGGAAGCCAGTCAAAAGCAGAGTTTGGGCTCACCTTGATCAGAATTGAAGCTCACATGGCCTGGTTTTGCAACGCAGGTATTTGAAATCATTTATGTGTATAATGTACATGCAGCTGCTACGKGAAGCTCACATTTACATTCATGGATCCGGCAAAATGTCACACACACAATTCTCCAATGCATGTGTGCACATGTGGGCAGTGCACAGACCTGCAACCAGCTCTGAGCTGGTGGTGGGGTGGTCTCCCCAACATGTGTGAACAGCAGYGATGTCTACATGCTGTCAGCCCCAAATTCAGGATGTCCACATTCAGAATACAGTAGTTAAATTATCTCCATCAAGGCAAAAGGATATGTTTGTTAGTTCAAAGCAGAAATCCATTTGTAGCAGGGTATGTCTGAAGCCCTTTTTTTTTTGCATGGCTGTGTAGTCAATTCTTAAGCTTCCGCCTGGGACAGGACTGGAATCCCAACAGCTCCAACACCTCTGCTAACTCTGAAGCAGAGCTGCACAGGCAGTAGCGTGGCCATGGATCATCCCAACCAGCTCCTGACACGTCCCCTACTTTGCCAGGTGCCAGATGCAACACGACAGACAGATTTCTGCTCAGTTTGTCCTGGGCCTCTCAGCAGTGTCCGTGAGTGGGCAAACAGCAGTGCCAGGYCCCCTGAGGTGACCTCTGCTCTGTACACTTTGATGTGTACTCATTTCTCACAGCCACTCAAAAGTGGGTGCCCAAGCTACGCCTTGGGATGATGCCTTCCCCTTGACATCTATAATGCTTCCCAAGGGCAGAATGACCACAATGACATTTGACCACTCCTGACCAGGGCCAAATTCAAACCAGTAATCTCATCACTGGTTGCATGTCCCATTAGCAGGTTTTAAAAAATGGTCCCAGTGGGTTTTATTTAAAATACCATTACTAATCATTAGGTGGGCTTTTTTGTGGCTTTTTTTCTCTTTTTTCTTTTTTTTTTTTTCCTTAAATACAATCACGTATATCGCCTTACCATATGAAAACACAGTTATAACTTTTCTTTCTTTTTTTTTTTAAGGGAAATGTCATCCTTTTTTTTCCTTTTACAGGCGAGGCCAGGTTACAAATTCCTGAGTTTATACTGCACTTAACACAGTCTCCCTTCTTGAATGTTGAGCTGTTTACAGCATGCTGGCAATATGTACCATTTCCCTTACCATCTGTAATGCCAGATGTAGTAAAACTTCATTTCAGTACAGTGAATTAGGGCCTCTGTTGCATTGGTTTTGAATAGATGAAATGACTTAGACCTGAAGGACTTGGAGTAATAGCTTTCCTCCTGTGACTGGTCATTTGTGCACCATCTTTTATATTTTCTTGTTGTGTCTTGAATGTGTTGATTAAGGGAAAACATCTTTACCATCATTTTTATTTTACCAAGAGCTCACTGGAAAACGTCTGAATGAGGAAATCCTAGTCTAAACACTTACGTTTAAACTGCAAACCTTCTTAAAGAAACACTCCTTTGAAAGACATCATTCTTTTAATAAGTCCAATATACGGTATGTACAAAAGCCCCTACTAGATATATATATATAGATATATATATATGTATATATATATATGTGGAATGCATTCACTTCTCTGTGTTCACAAATATTTTAAGGGTGAAATGTTAGTCTTTAATCTGCTTCTGGCACCAAAATGTCTTTGTTCCTTGTCCACTTTTGTTACTCTAAATTTATCAGTGAAGAGCTAGCAGGGAAAAAAAGAAAGATTTTGCTTTTTTTTGTTGAATGGTTCCCTATTGGGATTCTCAGCCAGCAATATAAAGTTGCTAATGTGTTGGGTACAACTTTAAATCCTCATTATAATCATGTGTTCCTTGGAGTAGGTAAGTCAATAACTATAGGCGGATTAAGTGGCTGGTAATTCACAGTGCACACAGATGCATTCACATAGGTGGTAGTTCCATCAGCCATGACACCATAACCTACAAAGGAAGAAAAATTCTGGTTACTCTCCTTATATGTTATTATCTTCTTTATTTTTGAATTACCTTTTATCACACARTGTTAAGTGCCACACGTTTTATTACTCAGAAGCAATTAAAAGATTTTCTTCATGCAAAATATAAATGCTCCCTAAATCAATACCATCTTTTTCCAAGAGCAGAACTTTTTGTCATCTATTAAATTGTTTAAGAAAAGCAAAATGGGCTACATTTCAGTAGTTRGTGGCTATTACCTCTGGTGGCTAGCTCACCAAACTAATTAGTTAGAAAAAACCATACTTTCCACTGCAAAGATTTTTTTCTTAAAACCYTTTTAATTTTGGAATAGAAGATAGAGCTTAGAGCAGCATTTTAAAAAACATGCTTCTGATCATTCAGGCTTGCTGTCATTAGTGCCGCAAACTGTGGGCAATTTTAATATTCCCACCTTTTTTTCCTGTCCTGTATTGAACATCCTTTAAGGAACCAATGAAGAAAAACTATTGCTTGATTAAGGCAAACACGTGTGCATGTGCATCTGGGCAGGATCTGCCTAGCAGGCAAGTGCCCTTCTTGCTGTGTCTTTGAACTTGTTGCCAAATTTGATGGAAAGGCACTAAAATGCCTGCCCAGGCAGAGAAAAAATGGCTTTATTAATGCATTGTCTGACAGATACGGTGAATCCGCACCATAACATTTCCAAAGGAGAACACACACACCTGTGTGTCTCACTAGTGGGGAAAAAGCTTCAATTACATCTCATGTCTGGCTAGTCACTCAAAGCAAACAATTCCTGAGCTAAATCTGCAGAAAATCCAACTTCCAGCTCTGATGCCTGTAGAAATACAGTGAAATGCTGTTTCAGAGAGTGAAGAAGACCTTTGACAGCTCAGGTGTTATAAAAAGAAGACTCTCCATTGTAAAAAATCTTTTAAAGAATTACTATGGAAAAAAAGCTTGATTACATGAAAGCTAAAAGCTTAATGTYGTAAACTTCCACTGAAGTTGATCAATATGAAGAATTGCATTCATAATCAGAAATATGTGATTTTGGGGAAATCACMTGGTAGAAAGCATTTGTACTAAGATTCAATCTCACCACTGACAAAGTTAATAGTGAAATGTATTCACTGCTATGTACACTGAGTACATCTGTTCAAATCCTAGGTACCTAGGACCCTATAGTTCTTCTGAGTGCAATTCTGTGTCTTTCAGAAGCATTGGAAGTTGYATAATTTGCAAGCAAAGAAACAGCAGCCAAATGCTTTTTTTTTGTTTGTTTCTCAAAATACCCTGAATAATGCAGGGCCTTCTGCACCTCCCATGGAAAAACCACACTATAATTAGGGACCAGGGAAGGAAAAAAACTCTGTCAGGTTCCTGTCACAGGCATTTCTTTAAATCACTTTCTGTTTGCCACAGAATGACTGTTCTGAGGAAAACAAAAAATGCGTAGAGGACAGTCAGCACCACGGCTGGGACTTTCAGTCTCCTCGGCTATGCATTTGGAGAGAGCAGAACCAGCCTGCTAATGCATTCTTTTTGCTGGAAGATTCCTCATGCTACAGCTTTCACTCCTGTYCTACTGCCAACAGAGTTTCCTTGGCCATGACCTCAGCTAATACTGGCTGTAATGGGAAAACCAGGATTTAAGCCAGAGCCCCTGCCATGCTGCTTGTCCCTTCCATYGGTGGAACAGCAGCAAGCCCATGTGCAGAGGTATTTTTTGGCAGCCATGGTAGTACAGAGTGGGAAGAAGGAAGAAATATCCCTTATAAGCATCTCTTCCCCCCAGATGTTCAGTAAATGACTGCTGCAGATGTARCTAGGCTCACTCAGAGGAGGAACTCATCTGTTCAAATCATGTATTCTCTCTTCAAAGTGCAGCTTCGTTTGCACAGGCTGCCTGCAATGGGAATTCTCCTCTGCAGAGATTTAGCATCCCACTGAAAAACAGGCTTTGCAGTCCTCCATTTGTTTTCTCTAAATTATGATAGTTAACARGAAGAGTACCTTGTTTCTCTGTTTTCATACCTACTGTGCCAACTACATTAATTCACAAGATTTACCATTCTGTGGAGGTGCCATTCTCTTCCCTTGAGAGCCAAAGTTGGGCTTGGTTTTAGCAGATGTGATTTTGTTTACCTGCCTGAAGCTCCATGGCTTGCTGTTTGCTTATATCCCCTGCAACCCTCTTGGCTTACAATTTCTGAGAGCAAGTTTGGACKGTATTCACCAGATCTCCTGGCTGGAATATTGAAGACTGCTTTAGCAGCATTATTTGCTTACTCTGTGATTTAACAGCATTTTGTACTTTAACCAGGCATTAACAGGTCACCACAGATGAGACATGAGGAGAACGGACCTAAACCTTGAGCTGATGATTTGAACCTTGATCTGAACATCTCATCTATTAATTTTACACCACCAGCAATGTCACTTCTAATGTGCCATTTCTACACTGGTGATATCTACAAAGATCCTACAGCAAAGCTGGAGCAGTCCCAGAAGCAAACTAGCCTTAAAAGCACCCCTCAAAGCATTCTTACCCRATTAACAAGCACAGAAGCTGAGATACAGAGATCTTACATGAATTATTTTAAAGGACAGATTCAGCTGAGGAAAATATAATCCCTCAATCCTAATATTTAGTCACTTTCTGTAACTACTGGACTTGTCCTCTTATTTTAAAAGTAACAGTAATTATCCCTGTGAAGGAAGCATCAACCTGTTTTATATGTGTAGAAGCTTRAAGCTCCAGTACAAATATTGAAGTRTGGGTATCAGCTGGTTTCTTCTCTATACATGCAGCTGATATATATATATATGAATTCTAGAAGTGCTTCTGTTCAGACACTCAAATTTGAAAATGCTCGCTAAGCTTTCACTATTTGTGCTTTCTAAATACATATATAAAAAGAAATGTGTTCTGACCTTCATGGATATGTCCAAAAACATGAAGCCTTGGCTGTATTCGTCTCTGGACTGTGTTCAGCAGCTCAACACATCCTACCCGTTGCATTTTCTTAGGAACCCAGTCTAGAAAACCTTTGGAAAAGAAARGAAAGCTTTAAAAGAAGACAGGTAATCTACAAAGTTGTGCTGTTACACAGCATTTTTGASATTTCATGTCTCATGGCTTTTTACAAACAGCACAGAAGAATTGAAATGGCAAAAACTGTGTCAGCCTTGTAAACAGAAGAGGAAAGAAAGAAAAATACTGAAGGAAAACAATAAAAACTCATCTGGATAAGAAGGATTATGATAACTCTTCCCAGTTTTTTTTCAAAGCAAATAATCACTGTAATCAAAGCAATTTTTTGCCCTGTTTTTAATGGGAAAACTCAAGTGTTTTGCCCATTTTGTTTCCTGAAGACAGTGAAGTGTAAAGAGCAATGAGTCCAAAGCGAGTCTCTAAAGAATTTAAATAAACATTTAACTACTTAAATCCAGTCCTGGAACTCACTTTTTTACAATGTACACTTTAACTGACATAATGGAATCTGTGTTGCCAATAACAAAACTATATTGTCACGTTGAATCCTACAGTAGTGGAACTCAGGTGTGGAATCTACTGCATGCCCAAAAAATAACATCCTCAAGGAAAACTGGCCTAACCACTTCATGACACAGGAAATCCACTTGCCTAAATTGATGGTTCTCAGATAAGAAGAGAAACTCAGGCCTTTTGTAAAATATGTATTTAAGCAATGCATTTACTCACATAAAAATTGGGTAAAAATGTATTTCTTATGAATACAGCCAAAAATGTTACATCAATTTGCCTCTGTCTAAAAATACTGCAGGGAGGGGGATGTTTACTGCCTACTGAAGTCTCATATTTCCTTCCAAGTAGTGGTATAGGGAGGATGTTGTTGTATTGCAGTGTTTGTAACAATCAATCTGTTTTCTTTCTATTGTTCAGTCATTTTCATCAGGCTCAAAGTTGGAAACCTAAAAGATAAAATCTTCCTGGTTTTATTTTGTTGTTCTGATATTTTCTCTGTGTGCCTGTCCCAGGTTTGAATCTCTTGGATTGCTGGAGTAGTGTGAATATATTGTGCTTTTAGCCAGAGGTACAGAGCCTAGACCTGGTTTTCATCCATTTACTTTTGATGTCCACTCAAGCATGGCTTAAAAGACCAGCAGAGTGGTATYCAAGCTCTTGGACAAGCTCTCAGATTTGCTAGAGCTTCAGGGGAGGTTCACACATTGAGAAATACCTTTTTAGCTGCCAGTGCTCAAAAACCAGGCTTGGTAAACTGTAAGGTTTTATGAAAATGGCTGAAGTTTGTACTTGTGTCATAGCTAATCAGAGAGCTAAGTTCAATTGTCATTAAAAAGTTAGGAATGGGGCATCCTAAGTGCCAAAAAGAAGTTCTGATCATGACTAAAGACGTGAATGTGCTGCTTGGCATCTGTAAGAGGATATACAAAGAGGAATCCTTCTGAACTATGGCCAGACAGAGCAATGCTCACTTCTGCTGAATTCCCTCGTGCCATCAAAGGGAGGTCAAAATTCACAGGACAAAACAGTATTTGCAATGTCAAAGTGTGGCCACCAATTCCTCTGGAATCCAGTTATGTTTTGTTGTTTTGTTTTTTTTCTCAGAGTAAGCATATTATAACCATAACTGTAGGTTTTATTACTTCAATGATTTGAAACAGTTAATTGTCAAAATGTCTGTGGTGAACATAAAGCCAAAAGTATTTCCACTTCAAAAACTTCACAAACAAAAATCCATAAAATTAACTTCTCCATTAAATTAAGCATTATTTATGTTGAACATGTTTTTGTTTACATGCATTATCACCCTTCTGAAGCCTCCCCATATGTTTGCAGCTTATTATGTACACCTGACTACACAAACTAAGAATAATTGATTACACCTAGCTAACAATTAGAGTTCATCTTAGGGGTTTTTTAATGTTTGGTTACTTGAAACAGGTTTCTGCAGCTGTCAGGAAAATAGAAATCTTTGTCACAGACAATCAAGCAAATGAAGACTTAAAGGTGAAATTAAATTAAAAACAAAGAAAAGAAAGTGAACTTTTGGAAGAGAAATAAAAGAATCATAAATACAGGAAACAAAAACATTCTGATGTGGAAATGAGCATCATYACTGACCCCATAATCACAAATGCTATATATCATGAGCTATGAAATACGCAGCAAATCTTTATTAATAATAGATAGAATACTTATAAATTGGTCAAAAATAGCYGTTTTAACCTTTGTTTTCTCATCCTGTGTGAACCTCCCATGTATCCCTGCCCTGGTTTCATCCCAAARCACTATGTAAAACAGAGGAGAAAAATAATCTGGATTTTTGTTACATGGCCAAATGAAAAARCAAAGTTTGTTTAAGTCTTAATGGTGCTTCTGCATGTAAATCATACCATTTTAAATCTATGTAATAATGGAGTATCAAATAGTTTAGGAGGATGCACACTCTTTTGAAGTGAGAGAATCAGAAAACAGAACAGAAAACGGATGATGGACAGATTTTAGGCAGCCATGCTGGAGGAAAAAAAAATGGAATTTGGAAGAGTACTCATTGCTATTTATGATCATTAGGAGCAGCTCTAGTGAGATTCTGAGTTCCAAAATCAGAATTACAGGAATCAGCTTTCTGGTTGAAATAATTGGCTGAAAGGGTCAAGGAGGATCCAGTCTCCCAAAAGGTCTGGACAGAGCTCCACAATAAGGTGGTTCTYTAAGTTAGGCAGAACGCTAATTCCTTTGAAGTGTCATATATTTGTTGCCATCGGTGTCAGGGAGACCAACAGCTCCTGCCCTCAGGCAGAGGATTCTGTGCCTGAGCCGTCTACTAATGCATCAACAAGAGACAAAGAAACAAGAACTTATTAAAAAAAAAAAGAAAATTCTTGGGGGATGGTAGAAGATTAAGAATAAAAAAAATAAAAGGAACATATACTGAGACATGGAGATGGGGGAATTCACATTATTCCATTAAATTCACTGGAGATGGGTGGCCCTTCCTCAGAATTACTACAATTATCAACTGACTTTTCAATTATTAAATTTACTATCAAATTTATTACTAAAGTCTGTTTGTTGAGTGTCAAGTCTGCAGTGCTCTTTAGGGATCCTCCTCCCTCTGCTGATCACAGAGGTTACTGGACAGGCCTGGTGGCTAAAACACAAGGTGGTTGAGGCTKGGTGGTGTGAACCCTCCTCCACTTTTCAACACTGGATTTCAAGTGAATCTTTAGTCACTTAAGGTTGGGTTTGTTTACAGCTGATTTTAAAAGTGGCTTTCTAAGTGCTGAAAAAGCTTCTGAAAAAGTTTTAAATCTGACTTATAAGTAAAACTATAACAAAGACACAGCATCATGCCTTGGATCCTAACAGGGATTACCCCCATACCAACTGCTTGGAGCTGGTATCTCAGGGCTGTAACACTTAATTTCTGACATCCACTTTTACAATACAGGTTCATACTAAAATCAGTGCGTAGCATGGCATGAGACTCCACTTAGGTGAAGAATCAAAACACACACCCCTAACTGTGAGAAACCCTGCTCACAAAGAACTACTTTCCCCCAGGATTAGTGAGCATTGGAATGCAAACATGTCTTTCTAAAGAAAACAAAACACAAACCCTTTAGATACTTGCTCCTCCAAGCTCTGAAAGAGAAGAAAGGGTGGAAGACGAGGGTTTTAGCTTCAGGAAATTGGGGAATCTAAAGGTTKAGAAGAGCCAACTGCCTTCATTTAACACAAAGCACAGTAAGACTCAGCAGAACACTTGAGTACATGCTTCTTTTTCATGTCCATTTATTAAATTAGTGAGAATCAAACACACAGTTGCATTAAATATAGATTGCTATATGTTAAATGGATTGAAAAAAAGCCTAAAAGACTTAATCCTTTACTGAATCTGGACAAGTTTCTGTGATATTGTATTATTTCTGTAGCAAAGATAATGTCAAAATTTGCTAGGAATACAAGAAAATCTCTGACAGCTTTTATATCACCTATATTAATATTTGGAAAAAACACATGAAAACTATTTCTTTTTGATCTGTTCATGTTTCCAGGTCRTACTACAGATAAGAAATTCAACATCCTTTCCAAAGAACAGGAAAACAATGGGAGCATCTGGATTTGTATGGCAGAAGGTGCACCAAATCATYGTGATGAGGAAAAATAGAGATTATGGGTACTTGCTGGTGGAAGAATGCAACTGCAAGTCAGGGAGAAGGTGATAAAAAAGAAGATCCTAATCCTTCATTTCTCTTCAAACAGGCTCCATGCTTTCAATCTTGTAATTTCACCAGTGGCAGATTAGACACATGCATAGGAAAACCAGACCCTGCTTATTTATAAAGCCTGTTACGGCTTTGTGTGTTGAGGTTTTATATTTTAAGCCATTATTTAATTCCCTACCATTGAACAGAGKTATCACAGGTAATCATGAGCTGAAGTCCTGGAGCTGCTGAAATCAGAATGCATGTTACTTTTGATTTTTGTAAGTCAGGATTGCATTCTTATTCTAAGGAGAGCCATCAGTTACCATATAATCATCTGAAATACACAGTTAAGAGCACTATTATTTTCTTACCGAGAGGTGGTCCATGTGTTATAAGAATATCTATTCCATCTGGAATAAGGTTCCATTTCTCTAATAGTGCTTGGCCTCGTGGAAGATTAAAGCCCCAGCCATAAAACCAAGGTTGCCTGCCAAGAGAGGAGGAGAATGTCTTCAGTGCTACTTCCATGTACTGGTTTTCTAATTAAAATACTGAGGTTAACTCTTTACTACCATGGATTTGAAGACAAAAATAGCATTTGTTTTCTTCTTTGTGCGCACAGTAATCCCCTCTTTCCATACAACCAGTGTTGTTTAGCCWGTATGGCAAATCAGTGCAGCCCTCCCCACTTTCAGTAGTCAGCATACAGTAAAATATTCACAGCATTCCTCCAACTACTTACAAGCCCTGGATACCACGATCTCCATGTGTGGATTATCACACTGACTCTCACAACATTTAGAAGAACAGCTGTCTCAGACACCTACACGTGATTTATGTTTGGCTCCCATCACATTTGGCCCTTAGCCTATGACCAGCTGGAAAAGGACAGACCCTGGCACCATGACAGATCCCGCTCCAAAGTCAGAGATACCATCTCTGCCGCTTTGTTTCCCTAACKGGATATAACCTATCAGAACAAGAATGCTGCTGCTTCTCTTACACTTGTATTTGTTCTGTCCTCTGGTGTGTTGACTTGCTTTTAAGTAAGATTTTCCACATTCCGGATTTCTTATCAGACAGGCATTTACATTTTTTAAAACATATTTATGGAGCAGCTTATCATGGAGCAGTGGGACTGTAACACTGCCAGTCAGAACACAATTTATCTGTATCTTGCTATGCCATTGATTAAAAAACTATATTTCACAGTAATTATAWCACAATGTTAAATTATGTCTTGCTGACTAAGGCTCCAATTCTAGGTCATAAAACTGAGGGGTTAGTTTTAGGTTGAAAGTTTTAATAATTTTTTGACTGACGCCTTCTGCCYATACCCATATTTGAAGAACAACAAACAGACTGATTTTCATCCACAGACAAAAAGAGGCTCAACTGTTGATGACTGAAAGGCTTTCTTTCTCACCCCCTAAATCTTCATCACATGCCCTGGATAACCAGGGTCTTGAGAACAGGTGTCCCAGAAAAAAAAACAAAAAACAAACGTGTGAAACTTTGTACATCTGACATTGGGACCAGAAATACATTCCAGCTTCCAGAAGCTGTGATGAGGGAGGTGAAGAAGGTATGTGAAGAAGAGAGTCTAACAGCTCTAGTAGTGAAGCACACATCTTGTTCTGAGTCACATCACTCAAATAAGGCAGCTGGCTAAGAAAAAGACACATCCCTATATCAGGCCCCAAAGTCACGCTTTTCTAGTTACCAGTTCAGCATTCCAAGCAGCCATTCCTCACCTTCCTGCTGCCAGGGTCCAGATGAGGTTCAGGGGAGACCTTATCCCTTCAAAATTTCCTGGAAGGAGATTTTAGTGAGGTGGAAGTTGAGTCCCTTCTCCCAGGTAACAATCAACAGGACAAGAGGAAATGGCCTAAAGTTGCATCAGGGGAGGTTTAGATTGGATATMAAGAAAAATTCTTTGCTGATAGGTCTAAGAGACCGGTGGCCATGCCACCATCCCTAGAAGCATTTAAAAGATGTGTAGATGTGGCACYTGGGGWCATGATTTAGCGGTGTTAGGTTGATGGCTGGATTCCATGACCTCAAAGGCCTTTTCCAACCTAAACARTTGTGAGATTCTSCTAAMTGGATTATTGTGCAGCAAGGTACCAGCAATGTTACCATGTGACATTGCCACACAGTAGTCACTGTGAGAGCTGGATCAGCCTCTCGTTGCATTCAGCTCACCACTGAGAGAAGGAAAGTATTTTTACCAAACAAGAATGTCCTAAAAATAAAAATAAAAAAAAACAAAAAACAACAAAACACTGGAATCTGCAAGGTACTTGGATATTACAGAAATGGGAGGCTGTATAAAAATATACAGTGGTTGGCTTTGCTAMACTCTTCATCCATTCCTGCCTTGGGATTGAATTCCACACCTTACATGCCAAGTATATTTCTTCACCAAGATGAAAATACACAACTGTTTGACRAATTGTCTTTAGGCCTGGAGCATGTTTTCCAGGAGCAAGAGCTCACTGACAGAAAGTATTTGCAAGGGTAAATAGGTGGCAGAAGAAGTGTCAGCATAGTAAATCATGCTTTTAAAGCCATTGACAGTTTCAGTGGATTTACATCCCTGGTCCCACCCCTCGCTTGCCCTGGTGCTGCTGGGCAGCGATGGGATTGTCCCCAGGTCCCCAGTGGTAAGCGAGGGGAGGCACCGTTCTGCAGGTGTGCCAAACACATTAAAAAATTGAGGGCAAAGACCAGTGTTTGCCCAAGAAGAAAACATCCAAAACTTATGGAATTATTATTTTAAGAATAYAATTAAACATTTTTAAAGAGAAATAATCATGACTGCCACAGGTCTCACGAGAAGTCAGCTTAATCCTGCTGAAATCCAGATGACCACAAATGGCATTTGCAGCTGTGACAGCCTCTGCCTGCCTTTACGGGGCTGGACTACACAGGCCACTTTCTAAAAAGCCCATTTCCCCTTATGAATAGGCATGATCTGCTTATTAAGACAAGAAGCACTTTCCCCCATCCCTCCCTCCCTCTCTCCCTCCCTCGCTTTGTGATGACTGCAGCGCGCTGAGAGCGGGGCTGGTAAGTTATGCATGCTGGAGCTGTTCTTTTGTGAAGAGGAGATGTTACAACTTGTGTGATTTGCCATTATGCTGTCTTTTGTGACAATCCCGAGATGGAAGGAAATGTCTGGAATATTTCTGGCAAAAAAATATATCCCAAGTCCAAGAAAGGATTCAGTGGAGGATGTTGGCATGCTTTATAGCGGAGAGAAGAAAGACAAATCACACACTTCAGTGCCCCCACCCCCAAAGCAAAAGCCATCTTTATAAGCACATAGGGATTTTATAAATCCCCAAGTCCCTTCTTCTGAAAATTTATTACAAAACAGCCATCAAAGTTTCTGAGTAGGGAAAAAGCTCTCTTCCATAATACCCATTAACGAGCCTGTGACCTGCATATCATGCAAAGACAACTTTGTCTAAATTTTGCATTTGTGATGGAACCTGAAGTTAAATTCTTTATATCAAGCACTGAATTCCTGTATTCCCTGTTAGTGCTTACTCAGGAAAAGTGCAATTATTTTTACRATGTATTTTTCAATAATATTTTACATTTGACAAAGGAAATATTGTCATGTATGTTCTACAACAGAATAATCCACTACTCTCAAAAAAAATCCCCAACCCAAGAAAAATTTATTTGGCAATTAAAGACATGCATCATTAATGCATTTCACCTTTGAAGTGAAGCACTTATCTGGAGAAATGTACTTTGATTTAGGTCTTACCTTTCTCAAGCGAATGATTTGAGTGTCTCGACACTCTACTGAAATTCAACCATTCTATTATTTTGTTAAGAATAATGATTGTCTGCATTTAAGACTCAGGGGGGAAAATACATCGGACATGAATTTGTTTACAGCACAATTAACCTTATGTTTAAAACATATGAACAAGCTTTGCAGGTCAAATAATCKACCATACAAAAAGGGCTGAATTATCAGAGTTTGTGCTAGCAATCGGATGTTGCTTTATGTACTGAATTTCTATCTTTCTGTTCTAAAGTAACCATTGGAATAATTTTCTTACAGAATGATAGTTGCYATGACAACCATAGCAAATTTTCCTTTTCTGAAACAGATGTCTCATTTAGTTGAAAATTAGAATGTGAAAAACCCATGGGAAAAATTAATTCAAACTTTAACAGAACACTGACTACAATGTAATCTCTTATAGGTTAACCCCTTAACATCTTTCTGCACTCCTACAGTAACCTTCTCATAAATTCTAATTAAACCAGTTTAACCTCCTAGGAATGACCTTCTTTGCTATCATTAGCACTTTAGTTGTCTTTGAAAGGATCATTTCTGTTATAATAGTAACAAAAAAAAAGGCATACCAAAAAAAAATAATGGTCAAATGTATTACAATCCTAATTATTYATTAGGGTTTTTTTCTTTGATTCAGCTACTACTGGAAAAAGCTAACATGTATTCCAAGAATTCTTTTGCCATTAAAATGGAGCTTTACTTAGTTTTACATATGATCTACTGTAAAAAGGGGCGATACACTATACATATTTGACCTGTCATTTATGTGAAAACTAAGGTTTTACATTTTCAGACCACTGGTGCCCATCTCAATCTGACAGGCAGCCATACAAAAAACGGGATACTTGACTGGGGAGAACTCTCAATGTACATGGATTTTTCAATCACAAGCAATGAGAGACTGAAATTTGATTCTCCATTACCCTGATTCAATTTAAACSTTTTAACCTAAAGAACAGCATCCTTCCTTTCCAGGCACTTACCAGCTCAGGGGGACTCTGCAGAGTACCTGGACATCCCTGCAAACAAACAGGGCACACAACCAGTGGGCACTCACAGAAATATCCCCCAGGGCACTGCCTGGTGGGCTTAGGGGTGTCAGCTAACACAAGAGCTGCAAGATTTACTGCAGCAGCTGCCTCTAGGCTGCCCAGCTGAGCAACACAAATCTTGCCACCAGTAGGCACCAATTACTCTCTTTGACTTCAAGGGGAAAGCCCAGTACCCTCAGGGAGCCTGGGTGGTGTGACTGAACAGCAGGAATGCATCAATGCGATTGGTGGGCAGCATCCTGCAAACACTGCAGTRGCAAAAAGTGCGGAACTGAAACACATTGTACCTTCTAATTTCTATTGTCTCCTATACAGATTTTTTTTTTTTTCAGCTGAAAGGCAAGTTCTCTCACTAGAATTCCTCTGCTTAACAAATAAATTTCAAAGGTTCACAAACACAACTAACTTGTTCCAGTCTTTTCTCCACAACAGTTGTTTTTTTTTTCTATAGGAAAATAAATAGGTATTGGTTGGTGACTGTAAAGAATCTCAGTGGGAAAAGAATGGACCAAATCACCTTTCTTCTGCTCTCATCCTGATCTCTTTTCTCATCCTGCTCTCCTTCCTGACAACAGCCAAATATTTAGAARAGAGCCATACCCATGCTGAGCA